AAGCAGTTGAAAAGTCACATGTACTAACTTTCTGAAGAACAGTGATAGGGGAAGATGACTATGGCAGGTTAAATACTACAGCATTCCCTCCATGTCTGAAATGCAAATAAGGCAAAATGTGTGTATACAGGTTAAAAAGGTTTATTGCAAAACAGCTCATGCTTGTAAGATGAAAACCTGGATATAACACAAAGCTACAACCACCTTGAAACTCAAGAACTAAATATTTGGATCTAGCAACTTTGAATGTATTGAGTATTATTCTCACCTACTGATTCTGTGTGGGAAGGGAATAGGTATATATGTATTACTGGTTAGACTTTGTTTCCTCTTTTTTTTGGGTAATGATTTGTGAGTAACTATCAAGATTTACCAGGAGTTAAATTTGTTTTATGCAAGACAGTAATGGCTTACTAAGTGCACAACATAATTTTCTGTCTAAGCCCTTGAAGAAAGTTTCTACATCAATTTTTCTTTTCCTTGGATTCTTACTTTGATTCCTTTAAAAGTGACATGCTGGTAACATGAATTGCACAATACTATTTCTGTATAAGTCTGAGTTCTAGAGTTCTCCTATCCCATCCCCCTGTACTGGGTTTTTCAGTACAAAGCACACCATTTGTATGTTTTCATCATTATTTGAAACAGTAATTAATTTTAAAAAAATTCACAGACTTTTAAAACTGTATCACGTTCTTGTTCATTTTTAAAAGCCTGTCAGTTTTGTAATAAAACAAAGCAGCTTGCAAATGACAGTATTTGTCTGAGATACAGAAACAGAATTGTTTACTAGGCACCTGCAGAAGCCATTTTAGCCCCCTCCCACTTTGTAAGTCTGTAATAGAAACAATAGCCCAACATTAAAACACATCATAGATTTAAATTTGTATTGGTTATTTTTAAGCTGTCTGCAAAGTAATACAGTATGAAAAGTAAGAAGTGTACCTTGGCTGAAAATTAAATTTAAACTTGCTGAAGTTCTTTGAAGGGCACCAGGAGCCCAAATGTTGGAGTAAGCCAGTCAGATATTAGATTAGTTTCAAGTCTACAAAAATGTAAGCATTTAAGCAGCTCATATTCATACCTGCTGTTCCTAACAAGAACTGCATGCAGGCATGACTGCATTACAACTCTTTTTCCTCCTGCCCTCATAAGACTGCGAAAGCAGTTTATAGAATTACACTTACAGACCTAATTCTGGAACATATTTAATGTAAGTATCTCTCATTCCCCCTGCCCCTTCGATTTCTACTGTCAGCAAACCATAAATTATGTCACATGGACCCTTTACTGCAAAACAGTAAAACTGTTGGATGAATGAAGTCTGAAATTCCCTCAAATATCATATCATAATTAAAAAAAATAAAATAAAAATCTGTCTGCTCCCTTAGAATGGACTTTGGCCTAAAGCTATAAATGGGAAAAAAACCCCAACCCTTCAGCATGACAGAGTAGATAACACTGGAAGTAGGCTCTAAATTAGTAAACATATTATAAGCATAGTTAAGCCACACTGAGAACTGTTTATCATTGAAAGAATGCACACAAAAAAATGACATCAGTGTTTTATTGACTGCTTCTTGGCAGGTGAAGTTGAGGCCTGAGTTATAAAATATGTACTGTCAGTAATTACTACTATTCTTTACCTTGGGTGCAATGGAGAGGCACAGAGGAGATCTTGTCACTCTCTACAGCTCCTGGAAGGAGGCTGTAGTGAGATGGGTGTCAATCTCCCAGGTAACAAGAGGAAATAGCCTCAAGTTGCACCAGTGGAGGTTTAGTTCAGGTATCAGGAAATATTTCTTCACTGAAAGGGTTGTCCAGCATTGGAACAGGCTGCACAATAAGTGGTTCAGCCCCCATTCCTGGAGCTTATTAGAAGAGGTGTGGATGTGGTGCTTAGGGACATGAAGTTTAGTGGTGGACTTGGCAGTGCTGGATTAATGGTTGGTCTCTTGCAGGTCCTTTCCAGCAACAGGGCTCAGAATTAACAGATGAGCTTAAACTGCTCTCTCAACTGCTTGACTAGACAGATATGCCTTCATCATTAAACTTGACATTCCACTGAAAATCAAACTGTTTTTTGTTGAATGACAATGTTTCTACACAGAAAGGAATGTCATTAGCCCTGTAATGACTCTCTCAGTTGCGCTTTTCAGGCATCGTTACTTTTTATTCCTTCCATATGAAAAGATTTGGGTGATGAAGTGACTTATAATGTGACATTAAAGTTCAAAGGCAAACCTCCCTGTTACAGTGATTATAAAAACATGTATTCGGCCTGGGTTACAGTTAATGCCATTCAAGGGCTTAGATTTTTTTTTTAATCCAGGGCTGCTAGAGTTATAGAAATGTTACATTTTTATTATATTCTTATAATAGAGGATAAAATGTCCAAGGTCCAAGTATTGGCATCAGATTGCCAGTCTATACCTATTTATAAAAATTAGTCTTATTTCAGAATCAGTTTATGGCACAACAAAAAAAACGGAAATTAAAGCTGCAATTAATTTACAGATGAGCAAAGAAATAATTCAGTGCTGTAGAGATACCTTTCCTGCTTTCCGTTTAATAGAAATTTTAAACTGAAAGCAGAAAAGTATATCCTGAAAAATACAGCATTTCAAAATGGCATATGCATACATGGACTTTTAAAGCCATTGTTTAACTATATTGGGCCCCCTGGTGGTCTAGTGGTTAGGATGCGGCGCTCTCACCGCCGCGGCCCGGGGTTTGATTCCCAGTCAGAGGACTTCTCCGGGCAGATGGAGCTCGTCAGCCCTGTAAGGCCATCCATCTAAGAGAAGGTCACTCCAAACAAACCTACGTCCCGAGGACCTCCCTGCCACTGTCCAAGCTCGCTCGGCCCCGGCAGTTGAACCTTAGGATTAAAGGGTGGGCTCAGTTCAGCGCACAGTGTGTCTCACCTAAAAAATCCACTGCGCAGGCTCGAAAGGTAATGACCTTTCCCAAATCTTCGTTCGTGAAGACTGGCCATGATTAACTATATTAATTTGAGACATTACAAATAATTATAATGCGTATGACAGAATTATTTAAAAAAAGACAAAAATCAGTTTTTTAAAAGTCTCATGTCAAAATCCATATTGTCTTACACATACCTGATTCTGGTGACATTGGTGAAAATTCAGCACATATGTAAGGAAAACAGAATTTAGCCCAGTTATGTATAATATAATAATATCCTAAGCTATCAGGAAACCATTGCTGTAAACAAATCTTTACTGAGAGGTAAGAGCCCTTTCATGTACAGTACTACTTGATGCTGAATGTATATTTCCATCTAGCTACTATTCATTTCATACTAATTTTAATTAAATGTTACTTTTGTAACATTTAATGCAATGATGTAACTTAAGAATATTTTGATAAAGAAATTTGGGGTTATCTTTGAAAGATTCTTAGAATGCCTGTGCTAACTGTTAATGCTTTAATTGGACTACAGCTTATATACTCTATCTACAACATATTTCCATATAATTTATATGTAAACAGAATTTGTATTTCAAGCACCATTTAGGAAAATGAAACATATCTCTTTCGTTGCACTGAAGTTCGAAGCCAGGTTTGGTCACCCTTTTACACATTCATCCTGGATATCAAAACAAATGTCTTACAACCAATAGCATAAGCTATCTCACATACTTTGCTCCCCAATTTTTCTCAGGATCAGAAACAGCATGATAAAAATTTGTAAGGTGCGTGAATAAAGGCCATTCCTGAAAAAACTGCAACATTCTGACAGACACTCATAAAAAGCATTTCAGAAAGAACATCCACACAGGCATAAATATTCATTCTTAAAAGAGCTACTTGCACAGGGGTCATTTCAGATTGCAGGAATGCACCTTGTGTGTGGCACTGACTTTATGGCACCTATATCCCCTCCTCCTTTCTCCTAGATTCAGTTACAGTTCTCTCAAACTGAAAGGCCAAAATGAAGGTTTGAGCTTGAAAGGGGAAAAAAAAAAAGACTTGGGAAGAGGTAGAAAAGAAAACCTGTTCAACCCAATTGATTGTATCCTACTTTAGTAGTAAAGACAGTGGCTTAACAAGAAAGAACATAACAAACAAAAATTTATAAAAAACCTCATCAAACCAAATAAGGCAAATTATCTGCCAAAAACCAAAATGTTAAACATGGATCTAAAATTTTACAGTTGGAATTAAAAGTAAAACCACAAAGTGCTAGGAAGTCAGAAATCACTGAAAGATTCATGAGTAACATTATACTCAAGAATCCACTAAAGATTTTATCTTGAATTGTAAGTATGAAATCTATGGATTCTTGTTTCTCCTGCAGAATGGGTCATTTCGAAAGTGGACAGCAGGATCAAAAAGTTGATGTTAAGTCACTCAGAATCACAGAATATTCTGAGTTGGAAGGGACCCACAAGGATCCTCAAATCCACCTCCTAAAGTGAATGGCCCATACAGGGATCAAACCCATCACCTTGGCCTTATGAGCACTCTGCTCTAATCAACTCAGAGCTCACAAAATAAATTTAAGATTAACAGAACTTAATTATTTTCCCCATTTTAGAGTGATTTATTAAAAGTGATTTATGAGCACAACTTATTACTTGTATCTCTTTTTCCATTAGTACTGAAGGAAATCAGTAGATGCTGGTTTTGGCACCATTTATATCTTATACAGAATTCTTCAAAACAATTTAAACTTGCTTTTTATATGTAAGTTACAGATGCTATACTCGTCTGACTTTGTTCATGTGAATAGTTCAGTAATTTTAACACTACTACTTTTTTGAGCAGATGTTTTGTAGTAGGAGTGCTACAGTTTTCTAAATTAGTGTGATCTTTTTCATATTTGCAGATTCCCTCTAAACTCTGACCTCCAGCAGCCCCCCTTTCATTCCTGCTTCCAGAACTCTGAAATGAACCCTGCTTGTGCAACATTCACACGGTAGAATTTTAATGGAGACTTAGCGTTTTGACAATAAGAGGGGAAAAAAATTATGTCATTTCTCCTCTTCTGAATTCAAGTGGTTTTTAACAGATTCCAGAGACATATTCATGGCTGCTTGAAGCATGTCTTCTTCACTCATATCACCTCCTAAAGACAATAAATGTGTATAAGCTGTAATAAATTCACAGAGCTAGTTCTTAACTGTAGTTAAATACTTTTGTTGTTCCTTTTGTCCACATCCACCTTTTTCCACCCCACCCACAAAATTGGTTTTGTTTTTAAAATCATTGAACATTGTGAACTTAGTTTTCCACCAACAACAGTCTGTTTGTAACACATAATACACATCAATTTTGGATCACCAATACCTAACACTGGTAAGGTCTACATTTATGTTCTACTGAAAACTGGTTCCAGTAATTTTGTCAGATATTAACCCAAGTGGTCATACAACTTTAAAAGTAATTTAGGAAACAAATAATTGGCACAAATCCTGTCAAAGATTCCAATTTGTAATGCTGAAGACAAACAAAACAACAAAAAGCAAAGCGAGAACTCAAGTGATCTCATAGCAATGCTCTTCACTTTGAAACAGGATATTGAGATTCAAAGAGGAACAGGCTTTTCTGGAAAGCAATCCTTTCCTTCACTGCCAAAAAAGCAATGGCTGTGACAGTCTGAATGGCTGCTGGAGTGAGGAAGTTGGCAGACAAGGAAGGTTAGGAAACAGCACAACACAAAGGGGAAAACGACAAATATTTCAGTGTTGGATGTAACTGTAAAAAACAATACCTGGGTCAGCTTCTTGAGTGCTTGAGCTAAGAGTTGCCTTATCATGTAGGTTTGGCGTCTGATCTTGCTGCTGTAGCTGTTGTTGCTGTCTGAAAGTGTCATAAATTTGTAAGAGACTAAGATTAACACCAGTATGACACCTGAGTCAAGTTCATTTCATTGTAAGGAAGACCAAGAAACAGAGGTAGAAGCTGTTTGGTACAATAAAATCTCAGTACTTAAAATCTCTTCCATCATTTCACCCTGCTAACCTTCAGACACCTATCTTCACAATATTATAGCCCAAGCCACATTACTGTTTTCCCACCATTGGGAAGTTCTGCATTCTTATCCTACCACGCGAAGTCTAACTCCTCCCATCCATAGTATTTCTCCCTGGTCTTTATTTCTTCCATCACTAGAAGACAGAGATAAGGAAAAGCTACAACAATAACACAACTATGTATTAAGAAAGTACACCAGAACAGCAACATAAAATATCTACAATGCTTTCACATGATGCACATGAGAAGCATCCCTACCAGAAGCAAAGTCTTAAAGAAGTAGTATTTTTTGTCAGGAGGATAATTACAGAAATTTATAGGATTTCATTTAAAATGCTTCTGTAGCATGTGTATTTTCTTTCATCACAAGACTGCTGTTGCACTAGTAACAAACCCCCTCTTATTTACAGGTTTCTTCATTGGAACCACATGAGAACAGTAAAATTTAGGTACTGTTAAGAAATCACGTTAAGAGAGAGAAGTCAAGCTGGACCTCGGTAAGAAATCCATCCACACCCCAAAAGCACTGAAAAATACGACATATACTTCCACATGCACTTTTCTAACAACTACTTTACTTTTCAAAATACGCTTGTCTTCTCCTTCGCAGTTCTTCTGAAGAAAGGGATTCTGTCTGACTGCTGTGAGACGACTGAGGAACATTCTGCGGTAACGAGCCTGAGAGCTCACTTCGACGACTACCTAAAACCAGAACATGCCACATCCTACTCATTACAGTAAAATGAAGTTAGCAAATGACGTACAGCTTAAGAATATGTCTTCAAACTTGAGAGGAAGAAAGAAACTTGTTGGAGAAATAAGCACCTAGACTAACTTCCCTTGATACTATCTCTCCTCCTCACCTTAGGACTGTTTCCCTTCCCTCCTGCCACCCTTAGCCAATTTGTTCTTCCTTCCTAATGATCAGTGGAACGTAAAAGATATAACTTTTCAAAAAGCAGAACAAAGAGAGCTACAGGAAATTCTGGATCATCCTTCCACGCCTCAAAGCCAATCTTTCCAGAGAGCTTGATACATGCTGAAAAGTGCCTGACAAACTGATTCCAGTAGCTGCCTAAAGCATAAGCAACACAAACACTAGCAGAGAAATTTAGATGGACACTGCACCTTGCATGCTGAGCTGAATGGCTCTGCGAAGATCAGCTTCTTCATCCTCCATATCAATTTCCTGCCTACTTAAAGCCAGGGCTCTCTGAAAATTCTCTTCATCTTCATCTAACATGCCTGTTCCATCAAAAGGATGGTTAACTTCTATTGCTTGGTCCACATCACTTCTGGGTAGCCTGTGAAATTCACATGTTTATAGCAAAATTCAGACAGAAGTTATATTATATTTTAGAGTGAGTTTTAAAATTACTATTTTCTGCTGATTTAACTCTAGGGTTTTTTAACTTCAGAAAAAACGTTTCTATTGTGAAAGTCTGTTACGTAAACAAGTATTTTACTTTCTACATAAAAAAGCACAAAAGAGCTGCAAGCAGCTGTAAAGCAACCTTAAACACTCATTCGCAGCACACTGCAACTCTAAAGCCATGCATATGTTGACAAGAAGCTGTTAGGAAAATCTTCAGAAATCATAATCCTACAAAAAGCTATAATACATGCTATTCAAACCTACTGCTATTTAAACAGTTACACCAGCAGAAAACAGAGTATGTGGTCTCCTCAGGAAGCTTTGAAGACCACACTAAAGCAAAAGATCCTCTGTAAACTGTAGACACTTTCCACATTGCTGCCAATTATTCCATCAATTTACAACATCAGTTTAACTTTACAAAGGGGAAGAAACAATAATGAATTCCTCTGAAAAGCCTTAACCCTTTTTATCAGTTTGCAATTTATTCACCATGAAAATTGAATAAAATTATTGCAGAAGTAGTACTTTATACATTTTCAAGGATGTTTTATATTAGCAAAATGCATCAAAACTGAGCAGCACCACAACACTGGAATGAAATTACTCCAAAAGAAAATGGTGTATGATTTATATGATGTGAAATTCACATTTGGGTTTCTTGTTGTTTTCCACTTATGACAGAACGCACAAGCTAGTCTTAATTACAGTTTAATTACTATTCACCATAGTTTGGTAGGATTTGCTAACCCATTTTAATCAAAGTTAAAAATCTGCACTATAATACGCTTATGCACATGGAAAAACTCAATCCTTATTAAGGTAGTTTTTACCCACTTAAAAATACACCATTTAAAAATAAACCATTTGTTGTCTACCAACTTGTTTTTACTGTGTGCAAAAGCAGTAAACGTTGCACTAAAGGTACTTCTAATTAGTCAAGGGGGTTGTCTCCATGTGGCATTAATCATGGAAACCAATCATACTGAATATTATTAAAATGAAATCTCTATTTACCTTACCTCTGATCTCTTGACTGTGCTGCCTCTTCCCCAATTAGTTTTGGTCTCTGCATTTGCTGTACCCGAATCATCTGCAGTAGCTGATCAGCCTCACAGTCTGGCAGGTCTCCTTTTACTACAAATATGGAATAACCTGAGAAAAAGAAATCATAAGTCCATGGCATTAAGGTGCAGATATAAACACTCTAAAATGCACACTCCATGGAACACAATGATGTGCCATTTATTACAACGTAAGACTCTACCTTTCATTATAAAGACTTGGGTTATTTCACTATTTCAATCATAAAACTAAGGGTAGTTGACTGAATACATAAGTTCTAAGAAATAATAATTATTACCTACTTTTAATTAATGACATTTAACATCTGCAAGTTACTATTTAACATCTGCAAGTTTCTATTACCTTCCTGTTGTAATTGAGCCAAGAAAAGTGCAAGATATGTGTCTGATATTAGTTCTGGACCCATCAAGAGAGAGTTCAAGTTAAACCACTGTAATTAAAGAAGAAAGAGGTTGAGAAAACAAATTAGCACAAAGATTACTCAATAATTCATTTCTGTACATTGTGGTAATTTTCTATGAAGGAATATGCAAATAAATCTAGTAACATAAATTATCAAATAAAATTCTTTTGAAGCACAATACCTATACTGCTAAAGGTTATCTTCAAATACTCTTCAGCTAACAGGAGATCTGAAGAGTGGAAATTACTGCATGCTCTCTCCCATTACTGAATACTGGTACCAGGCAAACAGATTAAAACAGATAATTCTTCTACCACTGTATTTTGATTTATTTCGGACATCACTGTAAAACTCTGCTTAATCCTACTTTTAAAGCTGAGACTAATAAAGTAAGAAACCCTTCATAAGTTAATGCTGTGTGTTAGGAAATTAATAGTTACAGTAAATATATGTTAAATTATTTCCACTAAATACTTTCATTAAACATTCTGCCTTTAATAGCTGGTGATGCTGGAAACTATTGTTTACCCCTGAGATTATTTTTAAATTTAAAAATTAAGAACAATTAACTCATATTTAATATGCTGACAGTATAGCACTGTATTACAACAGGAGACACTTGATATAAATATATACAGACCATTTCTAGTTTCCTGAAGAAGATAACTAGTAATTTATAATACTTCAAGAGAGAAACAATATTATATAAAACTTCTAGACAGAAAATATATTCAGCATGGGCCATAAAATATTCTACCCTTAAACCCCCACATATATTGCAATGAAACCAAAGAATCTTTTTTAATACCTTACTCATTCAATATTATCTAATTTTAACCAGGAAGCACCATTTCAGATAGTAGAAAGAGAATTCCATCTTCATTCTCACAAAAAATGCATTGATCTAACCAAACTTCCACATATGCAGTCACACACCTGCAGCCAGACTCATACTATAAGTGACTATCTACCACTCTGTCTGGCAATACTTAATTAGCCAAAACCACTCTCTGCCACTAGGAAAGAGTAAGAAGACCACCAGTGTAGGAGCACTGGGGAATAAAAAGTTATGTAAAAAATACAATGCACAGACTACAGAAACTTTTAAAAGGGAATATGGAGGAGAAAGTTTTGGTAAACTAATTTTGCTTTAACTGTAACAGAAGAGAAGCAGGTTAAATAAATCCAAGTCAACAAATTTTCTCTATCTTTTCTCATTATTCAGTGTTGTCTTCATGTGGTTACAAGCAAAACACATTCCCCCTCCAACTTAGGATGTTTCAGGTTAGAATGCTCTCTCACAAAATTCCACCCAATATGGTTGTATATATAATAAGGAGCATTCCCATGAGACCATCCTTTTTGATATCAAATAAACAAAAATTGCCTGTAAGCATTAGCCATACTTTTAAACTGGAGCAGAACAGTAGAGTTCAGTTTGCTTACTCAGAGGTAATTTTTCTCTTTTTTTTTTAATCTGGATGACAACATAGGTAGCCAGCACTTGCAAAAATGATCCAAATGGGCAAAGAGACTCTTGCCTCACTATTACAGAATCTAAAGGCTGTTTTCCATTAACATTTTCTAAGAAAAAAGCCACCTGAAAAAAACAAACATCAAACCAGCTCATGTTGCATAAAAGCTTATGAAGTATGATCCAGAAGGATGACTGGCCACTGAAATAAGACACTGCACTGATGTTGCAAGGGACATGGATATGAATTATTATATATGTACCAGATAGTTACTGAAGGTAAGGGATGGCCATACAAATATTATCTCCTGATTAGAATACAATTATTTCATAAAGTTTTCCAAAATAGTACAAAGCTGTGATTCTACTTTCCCCAACCTCATTCCAATGGATACTCTTAAATACTAGCAATTATAGGGATCCTAATCCTTGTCTAGACTCCCTGCTCCTCCCCCATACAATTTTTTCTGCTATTTTTCACACAGAAAAACCCCAACAACCTAGCTTAAATATCACAGAGACTCTTCCAGAGCTGCATCTCCCTAAAGGACAGGTTCACTCGGGAATTGCTGGTCTTTCCCCAGGCTAACAATTATAATGAGTTGCCTGGTATTTTTGTGATAAAACAAACATTATTTTTTTTTAATATGGCATACTATTAAAGCAAACTGCAGCTAAAGCTTGCAAAAGGCCAACACATGATCTACTCGCAACCACTTTTCCACACCCATTCTGAAGTCAATATTTAAATAAAAAAAGACAATGTCACCTGTTTTCCCAACTTTCGAACTGTAAACCAGTGTTCCTTATAATTACAAATAAATGATTTTTCATTTCTGTAAAAAGAAAAACAAAAGGTATAAATAAAATTAAATACTCTAAAATCAGAATACAGGTTAATGTTTAAGTTCTTTGCAACCACTAATTCAAATTTATATAATAAAATTTCAGGAATACAACTGTTGATGCTACATTACAAAATACTTATACTGCTTTTAAAACATTTAGGAAGTTGTCAGTATCACTGAAATTTCCATATACCTGTGATATCAGAGATACTAAGACATCATGAAGGCACAGAGGACAGATACTCATATGTACCCCCCAAAAAAATAAAACAAAACCCCAAGGTATACTACAAACATCAGAATGCAACAGAGTTTGAAAAAGTAATTTTAAAGAAGGATTTAAATCATACATTAAGAGTATTTTTTTCAGTAAAATGAAAGCAGGGTGCTAAAGAAGTCTTACATAGGGTCGATCCCAAGTCTCTGATACTCTGGGCTGTTGAAGAGGATTAGTTCTAAACCCCACACTTTCAAGGCATTGCTTATAACCTGTCAAAAAATAGGAGTTTTCATGAGTCAAACCATCAAAATTTGAGCAATGCAACCACCTTAGCTACTATAAACAACTACACTGTTCTTGTAAAACTTAGATTTCAAAACATAGCAAGGAAACCTAGGAATCACATTATGCAAAATGCAGCTGTCATGAACTTGCATGCAAACATAACACTTATACCTTATCTAAGGGGAAGTAACAAAACTAGGATTTAACTGAGATGTGTTAAATCAAAAACAAAGCTGTAACTTCACCTCCCACACACATTTGAGTAGTTGTTACCTCTGCTCTCAGTGCACTGCTCTGCCCTCCCTCCCCAGTACCAACTCAATCTTTCTCCACAGTAACTATTGGAAATTCTGTACTGCTGGATTGTCATGGGATCAATCAGGCACTGAACTGAGCACAAACTCTTTAACAGTAACTCTTTAAGGCTACACGAAATAATGCTTTAAGATATTTAAATTAACAATTCAACTTGCTTTCAGGAAGCCAACTGTGCAGCAAGTGAGAAAATCCATGACAGGACAAAAAAGTAGAATGGGGAAGCATAGTTTTTTCAGCTTCTATACTGAAGTAACACAATCAAGAATACAAGGAAAGCCAAACTAAATGGTTTTTCACTGAACATGAAAACAGCCCTGTCTTACCATAGGGAAGAGAGATTCTGGAACATGGAAAAGCACCTCTGAAAGCTTGGAAACAGCCAAAGGTGCAAAGCATTGCCTACAGCTCTAGTCTAGACACAAGCCCCAGTTTGGTGTTCAAAACCTTTTTTGTTGTTTTTCTGGTTAAAGTATTTATTATTGATTACTTTTCCACTATGGCCCTTAAAAAAACCCAACCAAACAAGAAAAATAATAAAACCAGCTCTGAAGCATCTGGAGTGAGTTATAAAAACTGGAATGCAGATGCTTTCTGCAGATCACTCTGATAACCCTGTAATCGCTGTCAAGAGCTTTAGAGTCTATAATTTGAGAAAGCAATCTCAATTCTGCTTTTTCACCTGTTGTCCATGGGAGCCAATGTTTACACCTAAAGTGTCCATAAGAAGCAGCTTAGAAATCAAGCTTATTGCCAGCAGGTGTCATTTCACAGTTCTATGCTTCTATGTGTTTAAGGGCCCATGAACTGAAGAACTGCAAGTCACTGCTCTTAATGGAAAACACTCTGAAGATTTGGAAGTCCAGCACTTAATCCCATAAATTGGCAACTAGATGAAAAAGCTCATTGCCACTTAAATTATATGAGAGAATATATAGTGCATAAACAGAAAATTGTGTAAGAAGAGAGCTGTGCTTACTTGAATTGAGAAGAATCCACTATCATCCATATTTACAGAAGGCTGCTGCTCAGTGTGAGATTGGGAGGGAGAAAAGAGAAAAATGGTGTAAGCATAAAAGGTCAAAAATAATTGAGTATTGAAAATAAATGTAATTGCATATTCTTAAAGCAACAACTTGTTATCTCCTTGTCTGTAAGGCTGATTACAATGCTCCAAACAGGCATATTAATTTAAAACTCAAACCTTTAAATTAGAAATGCTCAGTGCTTAAAGGGCAGACAGGCATGGGCACTTCTGTTCCTATCTGACACTGGATTACAAAAACAAAAGGCTAATCACCAATCCTCCTTGCCATCTTTGACCTTTCTACTTGTAAGACGAATGTAGCTTTCTGTAGAATTATTGTGCTAATAACATTTGAAAATGCCAAATCTAAGATGCATGAATGAAAAGGACTACAAATTTAAGAGCTTTCAGCACTAGAAAATTAACCTTGTCTAGCTTAGCAAGAACAGCAGGTCTGTGCTAAACAATGTTACATTTCAGGCAAATATGAAGCAACCCCAACTTAAGATGATTTTACCTGTAAAAATGTTCTATATTCTTCACTAGATACTCCTCCCTCTGCCATTCTCATCCTTTCTTCCTCATCCAACTGCTGTGCAATAGAGGATAACTCTACAGGACTAAAGTATTCCCCTTGCAGCAAATTATTCAGACAGTGTTGAGCACACAATGAGCCTTCTTGCTAATATTGGAAGAGAAAAAAATACCAAAGACAACAAGAAAATCAGGTTTACATAAACTCTGTAAAATGACTCGACCATTTCATTCTGGCAAACTTCCTGCCCTCCCCACTCACCCAGAATACCATGTATTCTTTGAATGTATACACTGCAAGCTATAGAATACAACCCTCCCATTAACTTTATGGGAAAAAACAAACAAACAAAAAACAAACAGGCACACTTTCCCAAAGGAAATTAATTTCATGTAAAAAATGTTTTTGAAAACACCATAAAAACTGCCAATGACCCAACTGAATCACACAGGGACTCTGCAACCAATGGATTCTGTCCTCTTCCAAATCACCACCACGCGAAAACAAAACAGTTTAGATTTCTACTTCTCAGTAACTAATGTTTTCTGTTAACAGACACTCATTCTTCTTTAACTTTTCTTCCCTGACAGGTGTGGCTGTTGAAATCTGCTCTCTGCATTATTGCTGAGGAAGTGATTTGGAGCTGGAGGAGCAGTAAAGCTCATTTTCTATATGAAATTTACATATAGGAAGTAGGTAAAAGAAGCTCCACTAGTTCTAGAACCCTGATGACAATGATGAGGGGACAAGAAAAAACTTCTTAAATTCAGCATATTAAACAATGAAAATATATTTTGTTGATAAACCATTTAAATAAAAAGGGGTTTAGATACTTTGTTACATATCCAGTGCATTGCAGATAACAGAAATGTAATGTAACATTTTTAGAATGTCAACGCAAATTTAAAGTAAGTCAATTAGAAGTGTCAGTCATGATTTTGTAGGACAAAATAAAAAAAATCTAATCTGAATGAATGCATGTCAAGCTCCATTATTTTCTTACGGGCAGATAAATTACTGCCATGTTAAAAAAAAAAAACAAAACAACACAAACCAACCAAATTAGAGTTTCCCATGCAAAAGCAACCTTTCTCTTTTTACAAATAACTAAACTCCAAGCGAAAGACAAGTAGCATCAGTTTTAAAATCCTGCTTTTCTCTTTAATCAGTCTTCACTTTTATTTACATGAAGAACTCTAATGTCCATGCCCTCTACTAAAAACAAAACCAGAACCCCTTAACAAAAATACAGAACACCCCTCCCTCATGCCAGACACATAGAAACTAAGAATACAAGAGTATGCCTCTGAGGAATATTCTTTAAACTTCCATGAAAGCTTCACACAAATCCCACGTAGAACACTCTCATGATCTCCCTTGAAGCAGAATCCTTGAAATTTCCCTTCACTCCAGATTACAGAATCTTCCAAGGGCTTCATCAGTTAATTGAGCAATGAGTTATTAAAACCAGACTGGCTGTACAGCCAGGCTTCAATGGAATCCAGAAACCTCCTCTTGGCTCACACTCCTCCTGTAACAAGAAACTCAAGACTGAACACCAGCTCCTGTCCCTCGGGACCACATCCCTACTGCTGGTCATATGACAAACTGTAACAGCAGAACCTGTTCAACAATCACAGGTTTCTCCATTAGACATAATAAAATACCTCTAAAAATTAGCTGTACTACAGGCTTACATCTTAATTTCACTAAAAGGACTTTTCTGTATTTGTACAGTTTTATCTTAAAAATAATAAACCTTAATTTTCATATGGAAATGTTATACATATCAAGTGCAAAATGCAGAAAACTGATCATACGATTTTTACAGACATTAATTTCTGTTCTTTTGTGCAGAGAACATTACACTTCCCCTAACCTGAAATCCTCTCGTTGAAACCTCTCCTGATACAAACTGCTGCCCTGCCTTCAGTCTTTTCAATCACTTATATCTTATGAAGGAAAGGACAAACTTCTAAGATAGGGGCTCCTGAAGCACCATCCTTAAATCCTACTTTCTGCAACTGTCATTTCAGTCTTAAAAGTGATGCATTGCTTACTTCCTTATTTTGTTAAATTTCCTTTATAAATACCATGTTTCTCGTGCCTTTTGATGGAAACACCTGAGGTGTGCAGATTCAAACGTGCCTGTATATGCAGCACTTCAAAGTATATTGACAGCAGTTAACGGGGGGGGGAAATACCTCTTAAGAAAAAAAGGCAGAGATTCAGTTACATTTTCCATAGAATAACAGGATAAAAACATTAGGTATTCCAATTTAAAACAGGCATTCAGGTGGAACTTTTTAACTGGGTAACTAACCAGGGAGCAGCTACGTTTCACATGTGGGAGACCCAAGACTGTACACTTCCCCTTCCCCAAAACCTGTAGCAACTAAAAAATGCCATCACCTTGTAACTTTGAATGTATTACGCTTTGTCACTTCAATTTCAGCAGAGTTTTGTTATTAAACTAGAAGACAACTTAGTCGTTAATAAAAGTTATCATTTCATTATGCGATAGGCAAGGACAGATAAGAGAAGGGTACACTTCCCTTAAACTATTTTCAAATCTAGACTGAAACTCAAGGTCATTGTAGCAGAGGCCATAATGGATGAAATCCAATACTTATTCTCTGAATGGCAGCTGCTTAACACCACAGCACTTGCCAAATTTCGCAACCCAAACCAAGTTTGAAAGAACACTCCCCAGTTCCTATGTACTTCAGAACAGTAATTTTATTTTTTTTAAGGAAGTTATATTACTATCTTGCTTAATTTCCTAAGTAAACCAACCATTACACATGAGAACAATGTAACAGAACTAGTGTTAAGATTAACACAATAAAGCTAAAGAGACATTGGCAAAGTACATGAAAAAAAGACAATTATATTTGAACAGCATTTAAACAGAAGAAGTTCATATTTGGGAACCTGGAAAAATCACAGCAGTTCATAGAAGCATTTCTTCGCCACAACAGGAAGTACTGTTCATCAGCGCACAGAAGCACAGTATATGAATCAGGATTTCTTTAACAGCTCTCCCTCTTCCTGCTCATTACACAACCTCAGACAAGCCAAGCTCGGTGAAGAGATGAGTCTAAAGGCACAGAGACAACCCTGCTCACCTTCAGACTCATTTTTCAGCCACGTGAGCTCTCCCTCAAGAAACACGAGCAGGTGCAGCCCGCACCTTCCCGCACCTGAGGTTCATTTCTACAGCCCCCAGAAGGGCGGTCCCCGCGCCAAAGAGGCCGATGGGGCTCAGCCCTGACTCATTCTGATCTGTAGTAACGACACTCCCTTTACCGCAGAGCCGGCAGGGTCCAGCCGGAACGGGCCCAGGCACCGGCAGCGCCGCGCGGGAGGGCCGTGGGTCCCCATGGAGCGGAGGGGACGAGCCGCTGCCGCCGGAAGGTGCCGGGCAGGGGGCACAGGGGGCTGCCCGGCGCCCAGCCCGGCAGCTCCTCACTCACACACAGCCGCGGGCGGTGGGTCCAGCCCGGCCGTGCGGGAGCAGCGGGTCCCGCCCGGCCCCCGCTCCGTCCCGCACTCACCCGCTCGTGGAAGATCGACTCCATGTTTACTGAGCCGGCCCGCAGCCCCCGCCCCACGTGACCCGACCACCCAATCACGGCGCCTCGCGCCACCGCCCATCCGCGCACGGCCCGCCGCGCCCCCCCCGCCGCCGCGGGGGCGCCCCCTGCCGGGCGGGAGGCCGGCAGGTGGGTCACGGGCCACGAGCGCCCCCGCGCGGCGGGAGGCCCACACGCACCGCCCGTCCCCTCATCCATCGGCGCGTCCTGCTCTTCCATTGCCGTGTCCTACACCGCCCCGGCCCCCGGGAACCCCGATCCCCTGATGCCCCGGGAACGCCTGCTCCCCCTATGTCCCAGGGCTCAGCGCCGCCGGTTCCTTGTGCTCACCAGCCGCCCGTCGCTCACACCTTCCCATTCCTGTCTCAAAGCCACAGTACCCACTTGCCACTGTTCCAAACAAGCCTACAGAGGAAATCAGAAAAGAAACTTGTCCATTAAAAACCTGTCAATTAAAAAACCAAGCAACTGCCAACCACATTCTGGGTCTATGTGAAGTATTCCTTTGAAGGCTAGTTCATAAGTTAGGGGATGAACTGCTGCTGACGGAAGGTGCCAGGCAGGGGCAGCGCGGCAGCTGGCCATATAAAATCCATTTCGATACACAGATTCCATACCATACAGATAAATAACAGCATAAATTATTTTTGCATAGTTTTTCTTTATTACATAATTCTTCCTTCTCACTTCCAGAGTACAGGACAAAATGTTCTCAACACTTATGGACTAATGGAATTCCCGGACACCTATTAGTCATGTAATTAAATCAACTTCAAAAAGTAACATTGGAAATTGAACTAGCACTGAGGAAATGCAGGTGTCCTTTTCTGTGGTATGCTCTCAGGGTAAAAATCATAATCCTGTTCTTTCAACATGTGAGATAAGATGATGAATCAAACAAAAATGTCTTCATTTTCATCGGCAGCTCTTATCTCCATGTCACTTCTTCACCAGGCTTCAACTCCCTGTGTAGAAATAAGAAAAACAGAGGGAAGAGACTAAAATTAGGATTTTTTTGATAGAATAGTTACTAATAAATGTAATTAATTTTTCTACAATAGCTTAATTTTGAGATTTATGTATAAATTTAACTTTCCTTGCAATAGTTGTCAGTTAAAAATCTTTCAATACTGATAAACTTCCTCGTTTCTTTCCAAAGCTTGAACAGACTGAGTCCTCTTATTTCTATTCATTTAAATGGTAGCACAGAACACCTGACCTCTAAGGAGTTAACACACTTTTAATCGGATCCATAATGAAAAATTCTATTTCTTTTAAATACAATAATTCATTACTTTAGTGGAAAGAGAGGTAGGTGTGTAATCAGGTATTTTTGCAAGATGCTTAAACAGCATCCCAAGTTCACAGCAACTGCGGTAAGAAAAGTGCTAAGGTACCTGTGGGGTGGATTATGTCTTAAGTTTTCTTTCTTACTCAAAAATTTAGGTGAGACCAGAGCTGAAAAAAAAAAATCACCTGCAAACTGATAACATTGCTATTATTAATCCATACTACGCAACATGATTTTTTTTCTCATTTTGTTAACCCTATGATGTAATACAGAATTAGAACCGACATAGATGAAGCAATGCCTGAAGTTCTTTAATCTAAATTCTCCCTGAGAAGTCACAGCCAGTAAACCCAAACTCGTCAGCGTATATAATCGCAATGTGACTAACACGTCTGTTCTAGAGCAGGCAGCAGTCACAAGTATAGAGGCCATGTTACTGAGAACACAGCTGTGTTGGGCAGGGCACGTCTCCAGGATGAAGGACCACCACCTCCCTAAGATCCTGCTTTATGGTGAACTTGCCACCGGCTGCCGCATGAGAGGAGCCCCAAAGAGGAGATACAAGGACTCCCTGAAACAACATCTCAGCCTTGGCCATATTGACCAACGTAACTGGTCTACTCTGGCCTCCAATCGGGAGGTCTGGAGACACACCATCTATAACACTGCTGATGCTTTTGAGAACGCATGCAGGATCACTCTCAAGGAGAAAAGACAACTCAGAAAGATTCGTGCCTTGCAGAATACACCATCTAAGGAGTCTTTCTGCTGTGCCTTTTGCAACCGGACATGTCTATCTTGGCCTTTTTAGCCACCAGCGCGCTTGTAGCAAATGTGGGTAGAGCCCTCCCCAAATCTTTCTTTGTGAAGCCCAGCCATGATGATGGTGATATAATCACATCGTTCAGTGAAGATATAGCAGTTGCCAAAAGAAGTTAATTTTTAAAACCTTGGTTATTATTTTTAAATAACATACATTTATACAAGTATTTAGTTAAAAAGTGATGTGATAATTTAAGACAGAAAACTAAAATTCAAGCACTATGTTTCCCGCTGAACTTTTAGAGAGAGACAAAATAGTGTTCTATGCATTTCATGACTAGGAACTTGATAGCAGTTAATAATCCTTTCTTTCCTAAACAAGTTGGCTCCTAAAGACCCAATTTAGTGACCTAAAACACTTCATGAATGCTTGATGAAATTTTTAGGGATTTCTTTCCTTTAATATTTTGACTGTTGGGGTTTTTGGTCATACTTAAAACTCTCAAAAAGAAGCACTTTGCAAAATAACTATATATATATTTAAGAAGCATCATAAAGCAGACCTTTTATATAATAAGCTCTTGTTTCTGAAAGCTGACAGTTTTTCATCATTCCATCTGTCCAAATAGCATCCAATCACAAATCCCAAGGGAACAAAGATGTGGACCCAGTGATCACGCACAACTTGTGGTAAATTCACCATGACTGCTAGAAAGAAAAGCATAACAGGTAACAATTACTAATAAATCTGCACATGGAAACTGTTGCATACTTGGCACCTTTACTCTCAATTACTAGGATTCTACAACCACATAATAAACATGAAGGCCATCACACACTTCCTAAGAGACATGTGCTGTTCTCAAACCCATACCTATGTTTCCTAGAAATAATCCTAATTAACTCTTCACCCTGGGAAAGAGGATTTCATCCTAAAACAGAGACAGAAATAGAACATCTCTTTTAAGATATCCCTGATGAAATAGTTCCATTTTAAAGAGCTACCTACCCATTAAAGCAACTCTACACAAGTTTGCTGTTCTGTAAAACAGAACACATCCATGTAAAACAAACACATCTATAATTTAAACTCCTGTAGATGGATGCCTTATTACTGAAAGACAAGCTGCACATTCAGCAGGGAGCTGACAGATAAGAAAGGACATTTCTAAAATCACAGAATCGTTAGGGTTGGAAGGGACCTCTGGAGATCATCTAGTCCAAATCCACCTGCCAAGGCAGGGTCACCCAGAGCAGGTGACACAGGAACGTGTCCAGGTGGGTATGGAATGCCTCCGAAGAGGGAGACTCCATGACCTCCCCGGGCTGCCTGTTGCAATGTTCTGCCAAACTTAACGTAAAGTTCTTCCTCATGTTGAGGTAGAACTTCTTGTGTTTCAGTTTATGGCCATTGCTCCTGGTCCTATCGCTGGGCACCACTGAAAAGAGTCTGTCACTATGCACCTGGCACCCGCGTTTGTGATATTTATATGCACTAATGAGATCCCCTCTCAGTCTTCCCTTCTCCAGAATAAACGGGCAGAGCAAACCTTTCCAACCCAACCAATTCCTTCCAGGTTAGGGAGTTAACCTCGACACCACGGCAGTGTCCCCCAGAGCCAGGCCCCGCGCTCGGGCACCGGCGCCGCCGCTCCCGCTGCGGCCGCTGTGGGGCGGCCGCGCACCCACCCTCTGCGGAGCGGGCGGAGGCACTGCCCCCGCACCGGCCCCGGCCCCGGCCCTGGGAGCGGCCCGGGCCGCGCTCCCCCGCGACAGGGCTCCGCCACTGCCTGGCTCCGCTGCCCCCGCCCGCCTGGGACCCCGACCGGTCCCGCACGACCCTGGCCGCAGGGGCAAGAGCGTCATAAAGCTCCGAGGCTGAGGCGCCGTGTCCCGGCCGAAGGGGTTGGGGAGGGAGCGAGGGACTCCCGCAGAAGAGTGACATCGGTCCCACAGAACCACCCCCAGCGCTCCCGCCCTCCGCGCAGCCCCGTCATTACCGCCGCTCGCGCCGCCGGGCCCCGCTGCGGCCGCACCAAGGGCACTGGGAACGGGCGGGCTGGGAGCGACCATGGGCCACGCAGGAGCGGGGGGGGGCACTTCCCCCCCCCCCGGCGGGCTCGCGGTGGTGCCGCCCGCCACCCTTCCGCCCGCCACCCTTCCGCTTGCCCATCCCCTCCTCCCCGCCTCCCGCAAGATGGCGGCGGGTACGGCGCGCGCCGGGCCGGGCTGAGCGCCTCAGGTAGCGGCTGTTCCTTCTCGTCCTCCGCTTCCTCCTCGTCCTCTTCTTCACCGACTGCAGTGGGCGCAGGGCTCGTACCCGAAACGCCGTTCCCACCCGGCGAGACTCGCCCCGTCAGGCCGGGCCTGGACGGCGGGGCCCGGCGGGCGCTGGAGCCCCGGACCCCCGTGCGGAGCGCGGGCTCTGTGCCCCTGCTCGGGGCGTTGGAGGGGTCGTGGCCCTGGGTCGCCATCTCCAAGTGCCCCCGTCCGGCCCCGGGAAGCTGCTCTTAACTGCGCTGCTTCTAGCGATCGTTTTTGTTTGGTTCTTTTTAAGCTTTGTAAAGTTATATATTGTAAAAAAAACCCCAAACAACAAACCCCCTCTTTCTATAACAGAAGACCTATAACGATAGAACGTTACTATTTGAGACTTAATTGGTATCCAGCAGGTGTATTGAACATTGTTAACACCGTTACCCTGCATATTTTCAGGAATGTATGAAGCTAGATCTAAATAAATAGACTTTTTTCTTTCTGTTAGTAAATGAGACATTTTCTTCTGCCCCCTTCAGATTAGTTCTTTT